GCCCTAACCAGGGGGTGTAACGGGCGCCAGGGGAGCCACGAGCCCTCCCCCGTCTCCCCACAGATGTGCAACATGCTGGGCCTCGGCGACATGAACGCAGACCAGCTGGCCTCCAAGCTGGAGGAGACGCTGCCCGTCATCCGCTCGGTCAGCGAGCAGTTCAAGGACCCTGTGAGTCGAGGTCCAGGCGGCGGTGGGGGGCTCGGCGGATGGGGACAGGGCTGGGAGCTGCCCTCACCGTCCTGTCCCGCACCCGGCAGGAGCAGACGACCTTCATCTGCGTGTGCATCGCCGAGTTCCTGTCCCTCTACGAGACGGAGCGGCTGATCCAGGAGCTGGCCAAGTGCAAGATCGACACGCACAACATCATCGTCAACCAGCTCGTCTTCCCTGACCCTGAGAAGCCCTGCAAGATGTGTGAGGCCCGCCACAAGATCCAGGCCAAGTACCTGGACCAGGTGCGCATGCCTGGCTGCCCGCCCAGCCCCGCACCTCTGACCCTGGGAGTCAGGGCCTGGCTGGGGCCCACCGACCATTGACTCGATTCTCTGACCTTGTGCTCTACCCCACCTTCTGATCCTCTGCCCTGGCCTCCTGCCCTCCTGCCCTCCTCCAGATCCTTCACCCTAATTCTGGCTCGAGGACTGGCTGGCCTGGGTACCCGTGACCCTGGGGAGTGGAGGGCCAGCGCAGTGATCTCTGACCTCACTGGCGCCACACCCCGCTGTGACCCTGTGAAGCCTCTGCCCCATGTTCTCTCCCTGACCCTGGAAGGTCCCCAGCCCGACCCCTTCCATCCTGCCCTGCGGCCCCCTGACCGCTGCCTTCTGTCCTCTGCCCTCTGCCCCCGCTGCAGATGGAGGACCTGTATGAAGACTTCCACATTGTGAAGCTGCCGCTGCTGCCCCACGAGGTGCGGGGGGCGGACAAGGTCAACACCTTCTCCGCCCTCCTCCTGGAGCCCTACAAGCCCCCCAGCGCCCAGTAGCACGCCGCCAGCCCCAGCCGCTGCCATTTTACACCCACCCTCCAGCCCCCGCCGGGGCACAGTTTGCACAAAGTCCCCCCATAGTACAGGGGGAGCCACGTGGGGGGCAGGAGGCGGAGAGGGAGTCTGTTCCCCCTGGTGGGGCTGGGGGGCTGAAGCTGCCCCCCACCTCTCCCCGCCTCTCGCCCCTCAATAAAATGATCTTAAACCACTGTGGATGTTGATATAGGGGGTTGGCGGTCAGCGCCTCCATGTGCAGTTGCACAAGTTGTTCACTGCACAAAGATGTCATGTCTAGAGGGGCACAGTCACAACAGAGACCTAATAGAGATGTGTATTTATTATGGTAGTTTTGGAAGGAGGGTGTTTTCAGTAAGGGGTTGCTTTTTGTAGCTCTATATGGGTAGAGGTGTTCCTGCTGGGGCTGTGAAGCCTGGAGTAGAAGAGAGGGGCATCGGCCCACTTCCTTCGAGGCTCAGAGCGTGGGAACCAGGAGGCCCCTCAGACAGCCCCGGGCTGGTGGGAAGCGGATTAGGCCGGCAGCAGGCCCACACTGCCTGCTGTTTGGTTTGGGAATTAGTGGGCGCCCTGGGCAGAGGCTGGGCCTGCCAGACTGGGGATTAACAGTCTCCACCCCCAATTCCTGCCCCCATGGGATGGCATCAGCCCCTCCCCGCACAGGGCTGCCACAGGGGGACTGCTTAGGGGCAGGATGGCAGAGGACTCAGGCCAAGGGGCCCCTGGAGCCCTGCCCCACCTTCACAGCAGTCTGCTGAGTGGCCTGCAGCGTCAGCTTCAGTGCCTTCGTCCCTGAGATGGAGCCGCACGTCCAGCCATTCACAGAGCCGTGGCATAAATCCACCTGACCCTGGAAGGCACCTCGTGGGTCCCCTTAGCCCTTCCCTCCCCCTCTGGCCCCCCGCCACAGCCTGGACAGCCACCGTCATCCCCACTTGAGAACCCAGGACCAGACACGACCTCGAGCCACTGCCAGTTCCAAGTCAGAGCTGGTGGGGGGCGCCGAAAGGGGGTGCCTGAGGACACGCCTGAGTCAGGAAGCGATGTTGGGACTGCGCACACCCAGGGTCTGGGTGTGCCAGGGTGTGTGTGTAAGGGAAACCCAGCCACGAGCCTAGACGTGTCCCCCCACTCGACTCCTACCCACTCGCTGGGTGTGCACAAGTGGGCGTGGGCACGTGGGAGTGGCGCTTGTAAACGCACATGGTGGTGCAGCCGGTGGCAAAGACCCCAGGTTCCAAGCCAAACCGCCTGGGTTCAAATCCCAGCTGTGCCACGAACGGGCTGTGTGTCGTCCCAGCCTCAGTTTCCCTATCTGGATAGCTGGAATAATGAGCACCAATTTCACACTCCTGCTTGTAAGGATTCAATGAGATGCAATGAGTGACGCCTTTAGAACGGCTCCAGGCACATACCTGCCAAGAAATGTTTATTATTATTCGCTGTTGTGATTATGAAGCATGTGGACTAGCCCGGGCAACCTGCCCCCCGCCCAGCAGGGTCCCAGCAGTCAGAAACGTGTGGGGACACTGTGGGCTGGGGGAGGGGGCATGCGCGGGGGAGAGGGGGCCGGCTGCAGAGTGTGTGAGGATATGTCCCAGGGAGTGGGGCCTCTGGTCGGGAACACAGAGCCCATCAGCTCGAAGCCTGTCTCCTCCCCAAGTCCTGCAGCCAGGGGCGCCACCCCTCGCCCCCTTTTATGGGCTGTCCGGCAGCTGGACAGCGGAGGTGCAGGTCCGAGGGTGGCCAGCCTGGGCTGGTTCCTAATTACCCCGGGCGGGGCGGACATCTGCCAAGCTGGGAACACAGCGTCCTTGCCGGCAGGGCTTGGGGCGGGGCTTCCCGGAGCCATCCGTGCTCCTAGCACATGAGGTGGACCCGAGGGGCTCAGGGCAGCCCCAGGGCACCCCTCTTGGGGCTGGAACCCAGAGCCTCTGTTCCTCCCACACCGGGCTACACATTCAAGGTTGGGGCTGGGGGGCTGTTTGTGCCAGGCTGGGAGCGCCCCCTTTGTAGGTGTGTCTATGAAGGGGGAACATCTGTCCCACATCCATGCTGAATGTGGGGACAAGGTTTTATGTCCCCAAGCTTGTGTGTTCATGGCGATGTGGAGAGTGTCTGAGACCTGAGGTGTGTGTATGGGTGTGTGTGCCTGCACACCACGGGGCGGGGAGCGGGGCGGGGGGGGAGCGTCTTATGTATTGATGAGCAAATGCAGGTGAGTTTCATGAGGGGTTATGGGCATGACCCATCTGGATGTGACTCTCGTGGTCTGTGGGACTGTTGGGGACGGGTCGCTGTTGTATGAGTGTGTCTTTGCAACATTGGTGAACCTAAGGGATCTCTAGGCTAGGACCCCGTGCTGCCCCCCAGGACCGTGTGCCACCGTGTTGAGAACAGGTGTTCCCGCATCTGGTGTGTGACCATGAGTGTATCTTTGCACAGGGCGGATCGGGAATGCGTGCATGCTACCTCCCTGTGTGACTGTATGTGGTTGTGGGTGTGAGGGCATCCTGGGGTCTGCACTTAGCTGGTTGTGTGACCTTGCGTGTGTCTTTGTTACATGGTGTGCTCATGAAGGAATGCAGGGCCCCTGGGTCCCTCCCGTGTGCTTCTGGGTGGCTGTTTGGAGCACCGGGTGGGTGCCTGAGAGCTGAAAGCCTGGGCGAGGGTCCAACTGCCTTATATCTGAACATTGGGGGCGGCTAGAGTTAGGTGTGTCTTGTGTGACTTTGGGAGTCTTTGTGACAGTGTGTACTGCCCTCTGGGTCACCATGGTCGTGGGAGGCTGTGTCGAGGGAAGCTGCATTTGTCTCTGGGTCTATGGTGGGTACTTCTATGTGCGTCTTTGTGACAGGTGATTATAGGTGACTGTGGAGTGACCCAGCCTCAGTGAGCCCTGTGTGTGTCTCTGGGATTGGGAAGGAGATGGTCCCTGCCCCCTCCCCCAGCTCTAGGTCCAAGATTCCTTGGACCTGCCAGTGACTAACTGGGAGAGAGACAGGGAGGAGCAAGGGAGGACAGGGCGATTTCTACCCACCCCCCCCACCACCAGGTAACAAACTGTCAGGGCTTCTCCAAACAAAGTTCCCAGGCTGCAGCTGAGGGGGCGGGCCAGGGAGGGGCTGCCCACGCCCACTCCCCAGCCCCCTCCTGCCCAGGGTCTGGCTTCAGCCTCACCCAACGCTGAAGCCACCCGCCCATCCTGTGCTTGTCCCCGTGTGTCCCTGCACCCGCCACCAGGTGAGACGGGCCCAGGCTTGGGGGAATAAGGGACCCTGAGGACAAATGGGTCTGTGGGCAAGAACCCATCAGCATCCTCAGGGTGGAGAGTGAAGGGTTTGGAAAGCTGGAAGGGCATGGACAGAGGAAAGGTCAAGGGGATCCCGGAGAAAGGAAGGGGCTGAGCCAGGGAGGTAAGGGGGGGGTGGATAGGCTGGGGCAGCTGTGCAGGAGAGGGGGCAGCCTGAGACAGGAGGGCTGCGGGATGGGACCAGGGGGCCTGGAGCCTTGGGGACAGGGCTTCACAGGGCTTCAGAAGGGAGTGCAGGGGCACAGAATGGGCCAGGACTGGCAGCTGGTGGTGGGGGGACAGGTGGGACCTGAGGGAGGGGAATGGGAAACTGGGGTGCTGGCGACTCAAGGAGTGAGGGAGGCTGTAGATGGCGCCCACGTAGGGGGGGTGGGATCGGATGAAGGGGAATTCCGGGCAACTCGGTGGACCCAAGGGTCTGGAGTGTGAGGGATGGAGGGAGAGGGCCTGCGAGGTGCAAGACGCTTGGACCAGGAGTCCAGGGAATGGGGTGGCCTGCGAGGGGAGGCTTGGGGAGCTAGGGCAGGACTGAGCAGGGCTGGGAGGAGACGGGAACCTGGGCAGGGGACGAGAGGAGGTGACCCGGTGCGGAAGGGGACGCCGAGCTGAGTGGGCCCCGCACCTCTCCTCCCCGCCCGCAGCCCCCGCCCAGCCCCCCGCTCCTCGGCCCACAGACCGGGGTCCGCTCCAGCCCCCTCTCCTTTGGCGCGACCCGCCCGGCGCCGCGATGACCGTCACGTACACGGCCCGCGTGGCCAACGCGCGCTTCGGCGGCTTCTCGCAGCTGCTGCTGCTGTGGCGCGGGAGCATCTACAAACTGCTGTGGCGCGAGCTGCTCTTCTTCCTCGGGCTCTACATGGCGCTGAGCGCCACCTATCGGTGAGGCGGCCCCTGGCTGGGGGGTGCCGGCCCGCGCTCCGGACCCGCCGGGACCGCGCGTCCTGGGGAAGGCGGCCCGCCAGACACGGCTGGAGAGGGGCCTCGGGTGTGCCCGGGAGGGGGCGGGGGAAGAGAGATCTGCGGCTGGGGAGGGGGCTCGCCCGTGACCCCGCGCCCCCTGCGTCACAGCTTCGTCCTGACCGACGAGCAGAAGCGCTACTTCGAGAAGCTCGTCATTTACTGCGACCAGTACGCCAGTCTCATCCCCGTCTCTTTCGTGCTCGGTGCGTTCGCTCCTGAGTCCCCCATTCCCCTGATCCTGAGAAACCCTTTTGGAGACCCCCATTCCTGCCCCTCTGAGACCTACCTCAAATCCAACCCTCACAGACTCCCACTCCTGCATCCTTCACGCCAGGTGTGGCCCTAATTCCCAAGACCTTGGATGTCACCTGGTCACAGTGCCCCCATGAGAGCTCCGTGTCACCCATAGGCTTATTCTTGGTCACCTCAGCGACTCTCACCTGTGTCTGCATGAGATTACTAGTGCCCCTCCGCATGTCCTGGGCCCCAGGGACCCCATATGACTCCATCCTCTCAAGTCCAGCCTGAGGGGCATTTCTTTAACAAGCTCTGGCCCCCAGTCCTCGGTGACTTCACCTGACCCCAGCCTCCTGCTTCAGGGCCCACGCCCCCCAGGGAGTAGCTCCCTGTGGCCACAGACCACCTGCCTATGTGCCCCTAACATGGGCCTGTGTCTCCACCTTCATTCTGGAATCACAGTCCCACATCCCAGGTGACATTCAAGTAGCCCCGGGTGACCCAGCATGCTCCTGCCTCTCTGACCTCAGGGCTGGACCACATAGCTCCCAGCCCAGGTGGCCCCACGTGGTCAGGGTGTCCAGCCTGCCCGGTGTCCCTGAGGCAGACCCTATGTTATCCTTCTTCCCACCACCTGGACCCCCAAACCCTTGGCCTAGTGTCCCCACTGAGCCCCCATTCCTGGCTCCCCCGCAGGCTTCTACGTGACGCTGGTGGTGAACCGCTGGTGGGACCAGTACCTGTGCATGCCGCTGCCCGACGCGCTCATGTGCGTGGTGGCGGGCACGGTGCACGGGCGCGACGAGCGCGGCCGCCTCTACCGGCGCACGCTCATGCGCTACGCGGGGCTCTCAGCCGTGCTGATCCTGCGCTCGGTCAGCACCGCGGTCTTCAAGCGCTTCCCCACCATAGACCACGTGGTGGAGGCGGGTGAGGCTCCGGCCAGAACGGGGGCGGGGGCGGGGCGAGGACGGGGGACGGGGGACGGGGCGAGTAACCCCCGACCTGGCCCCTCCAGGGTTTATGACCCGCGAGGAGCGCAAGAAGTTCGAGAACCTGAACTCGTCCTACAACAAGTATTGGGTGCCCTTCGTCTGGTTCTCCAACCTGGCGGCGCAGGCCCGGCGCGAGGGCCGAATCCGCGACAACAGCGCCTTTAAACTGCTCCTGGAGGTGAGCTCGCCAGGTGGTCATTCATATAAAATACCAGGGAAATTGTATCTCCCCATCCTCCCCGAGTTGTGCCAGAGAGCGGCTTGCCAAGCGCTCCCACGAGGCAGATCCCAAACACCTTAACTTAGGTGTGTACCGACTCCTGGGTGCATGGTACCCCCGACTCCAGGTGACCACTCACCTCCATCCCAGGTACCCACACTTAATCCCCACGTGTGAGCTCACCATTCAGGCCCCCTCATGACCCGCATCGCCCGCAGGAGCTGACCGCTTTTCGGGGCAAGTGTGGGATGCTCTTCCACTACGACTGGATCAGCGTACCCCTCGTCTACACCCAGGTAACGCTGCCGTGCCTCCGTTTATATCCGGCGTAAGACGCCATCGCGGTGACGCCGGACGCTAGCCCTGGTGTCTCCGTGACCCGTCCCAGAGGCCGGGAGAACCCTGACCCGGCGGCGCGCCCCACCCGCAGGTGGTGACTATCGCGGTGTACAGCTACTTCCTGGCCTGCCTCATCGGTCGCCAGTTCCTGGACCCGGCGCAGGGCTACAAAGGCCACAGCCTGGACCTGTGCGTGCCCATCTTCACCCTGCTGCAGTTCTTCTTCTACGCTGGCTGGCTCAAGGCGAGTGGGGCCTCGAGGCCGGGACTCGGGGCGGGCCGGGATTCCCAGGACTCTGCCTACCTCCCCTCTCCCCCTTCAGGTAGCCGAGCAGCTCATCAACCCCTTCGGAGAGGATGATGACGACTTTGAGACCAACTTTCTGATCGACCGCAACTTCCAGGTGAGGCTCTCTCGGTTGCGCCCACCCCGGGGCTCCCACAGCGGCCCTGGCCCCACCCCCGCCAAGACTTGCCCGGGCCCCGCCCCTGAACCATCCTGTCTGTGGTGCCGCGCTTTCCACGCCGCCCTCCCTGCCCCGCGTGTCCGCGCCCGCAGGTGTCCATGCTGGCCGTGGACGAGATGTACGACGACCTGGCCATGCTAGAGAAAGACCTGTACTGGGACGCGACCGAGGCTCGCGCCCCCTACACGGCGGCCACCGCCTTCCTGATGCAGCAGCCCTCCTTCCAGGGCTCCACCTTCGACATCACGTGAGCCCAGGGTGGGCGGGGCCTCCGGGGCGGGGCTTATGGCTCTGGGGTGTAACTGATTGAAGGGGCTAGGGGCGCCAGGACAGTGCTAAGAGCTAAACTCTGGAGATTCGGGGCTAAGACTGGGATGGGGCAGGGGTCAGGGATGGGCTCAAGGTCTGGCACCCGGCCATTAATTGGGGGCCGAACTAAGGGCTAAGGTCTATAAGGATTGGACGGGCCAGAGGCGGCACCAAAGGACACACGGCAGAGCCACAACTGAGGCCTTGAGGCGTAAGATCGAGCGTAGTCAGAGCCAGAGGATAAGGCCAGGCTCTCGGGCGAGGGGCCAAGGTCTTTGGGGATAAGCTGGACAAAGGAGTGGGTGGAGCCAGGAGAAGCAGCAGCAGCGTGCCTCGGTCGCAGCTCTGTTAATGAAGAAGAGGGGCGAGGCCGCAGCGCTGACCCGCCGTCCGCCCGGCAGGCTGGCCAAGGAGGACATGCAGTTCCAGCGGCTGGACGGCGTGGACGGGCCGCTGAGCGAGGCTCACGGCGACTTCCTGCAGCGCCTCCTGCCGGTGGGCGCGGGCGTGGGCGCGGGCGTGGTCCCAGGGGGCCTGCTGGGCCGGCGCCTGTCCCTGCTGCGCCGCAAGAACAGCTGCGTGTCCGAGGCGTCCACCGCCCCCAGCTGCGCGTGCGCCTGCGCCCCCGACGGCGCGGCCCCGGAGTGCGGCTGCGGGGACCCGCTGCTCGACACCGGCCTGCGGGAGCCGGAGCCCGAGCCCCCCGCCGGCCCCGAGCTGCCCGCCGAGCCCTTCACCCCTGTGCCCATGCCCGCGCCCCGGGGGCCGGCTCCGCCCTGGCTGCCCAGCCCCATTGGCGAGGAGGAAGAGAGTCTGGCCTGAGACCCTGGAGCCCAGGATCCGCAAGGACAGGGACCCAAGCCTCCACACCGCACGCAGGCAGCGGTCCGGGTCTGCGTAAGCCGCGCGCGGACTCCGTCCGCCCGCTTTTGACCAGTTCCCGCTCCCTGCGCGCCCGCCTTCGTGGCCCACACAGGAGCTTGGAGCGCCCCCTGTGGGCCAGGCACTGAGCTGAGGGCGGGGGATGCCGCCAGCTTCTTCGAAGAGCGGGTCCTCACCACCAGCTCTCCTCATCCGCCACCACCTGAGAGGCCTCTATCAGTGTGCTCTGCCTTCACGCCTTCCTCCACGTGGAGAGGTGAGCGCCAACCTCATTGAGTTGTGAGGATGAAATGAAATGACGGCTTTAAAGTGTTTGGTACATAATAGGTGCTCAATAAAATGTTAGTGGTTTCTACTCAAACGTAGCCTGACTTTTGTTGCCAGGCATCATGCTAAGTAAAACTTGAGAGTTCTTCCAGATTATTTGATGATGCTCTGCCCACTTCTTCCCAAACTCTGCTCTCTGAAATGCCCCATTGGTGCCCACAGCTTTACTCATTCATCAATGTACCACACGCAGTCCCAGGACCATAGCTTCCTCCTGCCAGCTTTCCTTTGATTCTGCAAGCCACACCTCCGCCCCAGCTCAGATGTCTCCTTCAGCGCTCTGGCTCTTAATTCAATCATATGCCCATTACTCCTGAGTTTACAAGTCCACCCAGGATCCCTCCCCTGGCTCTAGACCCAGAGAGCCAACTGCCTTTTTGACATCTCCATATGGGATCTCAGGGCACCTGGAATGTAACGTGCCCCCAAACCAGCTCCCTAAGGGCTCCCCAACCTGCCCCAACCTCTGTGGGCTTTGTCCTTCCAGATGGGGCCAAAACCTTCAAGTCATCCTCAACTCCTCTCTTTCCCTCCCCCCTCCACATCAACCCAGCAGCCAATCCCATCAGCTGGGTCTTCAAACTGTATCCAGAATCCAACCACCTCCCATTCCACCATGGCCCCCATCCTGGCCAGAGCCCCCAGTGTCACCCACTCACCCGGACTAGGGACCTCTGGTCTCCCCGCTCTGGTCCTGACCCCCTACAGTCTGTTCCTCCCACAGCAACCAAAGGGAGTCTATGAACACCTGAATCAGGTTACGTCCTTCCTTTGCCCAGAACCCTCCATGGCTCCCACCTCATTTAGAATAAAAGCTAAGTACTTCCCGCAGCCTACAAGGCCCTGAACAACCTCCCTTCCCTCGTCTCCTCCCATTCTTCCCTCACTCCACTGCAGCCTCACTGTCCCTCTAATCCACAAAGCAAGGTTTCATCTCGGGGCCTTTGCACATGCTATGCTGTTCCCTCTCCCTGGATCGCTCTTCCCCAGATACCTACACAGCCCCTCCCTCACTTCCTTCAGGTCTCTGCTTAAATTACGTCACTTCCGTGGTGAGGCCTCCTTTCTTGGCCTTTTATTAAAAACTGCCATCTCCCAAATCCACCTCCTGCATCCCCATCCCTTTCGTCTGCTTTACTTTTCTCTGTAGTACTTCTCGTATCAAACTTTATCCGTTTTGTTTATTGTCTGTCTCCCTTCGTTGGAATTGACAGCTTCATAAGGTAGGGAGTTTTGCCTGAAGCTTCTTCAAAAACCACCACACGCACACACCGTCACAAACATGATTGTCACCTCTGACTGGGTGCTATCAGTCACCCACACTTTAGTAAGAACACAAGCCACACCTTTCTTAAAAGCAATGGTCTGATTCCCCGGCCCATTTTCTCTCCCTCCCCTCTGTGCCCAGAGTCCAGCCAAGACAGATTGGAAGTCTTTATTATTTTTCTTCTCAAATATAAAATCACTCTCTCCCCTGGCAGTTTATTGACCCCAGGGAGAAAATCAAAAATAAGAATCACATTGCTAAAAAGAACCGGCCAGAACGGCCCATCTGCCTCCCAACCCGTCCTGCGCTTTTGTCCCATCTGGGAGAGCAAAAGACAGAGGTCACGACCTCAAGGCTCTCAAGCAGCTGGCCTGGACATGATGCTGGGCTCCATGTGAGTTGGGAAATCCAGGGTGGATTAAGCCTGACTGGCGGTGCAGGTAGCAGCACCCCGAGGTCCATCAGTGCTTGTCGGTGGGGCGCATGTTCAGGGATGCCAGGCGTCCCAGGGGTCCACGGCGAGCATTGGTGGCCAGTCGCTGCTGCGCCAGGAAGGACTGGGCATGTGCGGGTGCCCGCTCCTCCCCGGCACGCTGCTGCAGAGCCATGCCCTGGAGGGAGGGGGCGTGAATGGGGTCAAGGGAGCCCATGGCACCCCCGACACTCTAGCCATGGCGACGGTGCACTCACCATGTTATACCAGGCACTGATGAGCAGCTTCTCCTCCTGCTCCCGCTGACTTCGGCTCTTCTCAAAGTCCATCTGCCAAGGAGGCAACAGTCAAGGGCCTGGATGTGCTGGGGCAGCAGGAAGGGGACAGGACACTCACCTCCAGGTGCCGGATGCGGACCTCCCGCTCCTGGAGCTGTGTCCTCAGGGAGTAGAGCTCTGGGGGCGCCCCGCCTGGTGGCCACTGCTTGGGTTCCAGGGTCTGTATGACCTAGGGGTTGGGGAAGACACAGCCAAGGTGACCTTGACCTTGCGGGCCCCTCCACACATGGTGTGCGGAAAGTGTGACAGCCCGTGGCAATGGTGTAGATGCCTGTGACAGGATGGGGTATGACAGGTGTTGGGGTGGGGGCAGAGACGTGCAAACTGGTGGCAGGCATGAACCGACGGGAGGCGCAGGGAGGCAGCGGCCTCCGCCAGGAGCCCGTGGGGCCCGGCGTCCTCACCGTGCGTGCCTTGTCCACATAGCGGCGGTACCGCTCCTCCATGGCCCGCAAGTCCGCGTCCTTCTTCTGCAGGCTGTGCTGCAGCTCCTCGATGCGCTGCGCTGCTGGGGGAACGAGTCGGCCCCTCAGCTCCACGCCAAGCTCGGGGCGCCCCCCAACCCCATGCGGCCACGGAGGCCCACTCACTGCTGCCGTCCACGGGGGGCTCCAGCTCCTCAATGTACTCGCGCTTCCGCTGCAGCTCCAGATCCGCCTCATGCAGCTTCCGCCTGTGGGCAGGAGACAGACAGCAGCAGGCTGACCCCTGGGCCCGCTTCCACTTCCTCCCAGTCGTGGCCGCAGCCTTCCCAGCTGGCCAGGAGTGTCCCCCCTGGCTGCAGAGACCTCTCCCCTGCCCCCCAAGCCCGGGGGCGGGGTGCCCTGGCCTCACCATCTTCTCAGCCATCAGAGCCACAACCTTCCTCACCCCTAATCAGCTGGCCCCTGGACCAACCTCCCGTCTGTCCACTTCTCTCCATTCCACAGCCCACTCCCTGGTCTGGCCACCGTCATCCCTCATCAGCCTCTCCTACTCCTAACCCCTCAGTTCCCTTCTCTACCCAGCAGCTAGGGATCTTTCTAGAATGCAAATCTTGTGTGTGTGTGTATGTGTGTGTGTGTGTGTGTGTGTGAGGAAGATCAGCCCTGAGCTAACATCCATGTGAATCCTCCTCTTTTTTTGCTGAGGAAGACTGGCCCTGGGCTAACATCCGTGCCCATCTTCCTCCACTTTATGTGGGACGCCGCCACAGCATGGCCTGACAAGCAGTGCATCAGTGCACGCCCGGGATCCGAACCCGGGCCGCCAGCAGTGGAGCGCGCGCACTTAACTGCTCCGCCACGGGGCCGGCCCCACAAATCTCTTCTAACAAAAGGACATGCCAGCTAAAACTTTACAGTCTTGCCACCTGTGGCAAAACCCCAATGATCTGGTAACACTCCCTGGAGGTGGGACTATTATTGTGCATTGACGTGGAACATGGTGGAACATCTCAGAGCGAACCTCTGGCTGTGTCTACTAAAATCACAGACATGTGCCCTCTGAGCTACCAATTCCACTTTTGTGATATATTTGCACACAAGCATATGATACAATGTTGCATTGTTTGAAATTGCAGATGCCTAAAAGGAATGAGTTATATACATTATGATATTCACAAAAAATGCTACAGGCCAGCCCTTCTGGACCAGAATTCTCCAGGAGAATTAAGCCCTAATCCTCCAGGTGGCCATCCTCTGTAAAGAAATAACTTTTTCTGTGCTCTGGATCCGCACAAGCTATATTCGATCCTTGGTAAAACTGAGAAAACAGCCTCGCAAATCATTTTCTGTAAAGCCTAGCTTCCCCACGGAACCCTGGTTGACAAAGGCTGCTATATTTATAAGAAAGAATGGGGCCGGCCCTGTGGCTTGGTGGTTAAGTGCGCGCGCTGCAATGCTGGCGGCCCGGGTTCGGATCCCGGGTGCACATCGAGGCACCACTTCTCCGTCCATCCTGAGGCCGAGTCCCACATGCCGCAACTAGAAGGATGTGCAGCTATGACATACAACTATCTGCTGGAGCTTTGGGGGGAATAAATAAAATCTTTAAAAAAAAAAAGAAAGAATGACTCTCTTCATAGAGAGAAATTTCCCAGTCAGCTTTTTAAGTAGGAAAAGCAAAGTGCAAACATAGATTATGCTACTTTTAGTGTAAATCAGGAATGAGAATAAAAATCTATATTCATCATCATTTGCATTTGGTTAAAAAACTCTGGAAAGATTTTCATAATAAACATAGGAATGGGGCTGGGGTAGGATGGAAACTGAGTCAACGGGAGTGGGGCACTGGGTGGTATACTCCTCTCTGTATACATTTTGTTTTTGTTTTGTTTTTTTTTAAATAATTTTATTTATTTTTCCCCCAAAGCACCAGTAGATAGTTGTATGTCATAGTTGCACATCCTTCTAGTTGCTGTATGTGGGACACGGCCTCAGCATGGCCGGAGAAGCGGTGCGTCGGTGCGCGCCAGGGATCCGAACCCAGGCCGCCAGCAGCGGAGCGCGCGCACTCAACCGCCAAGCCACAGGGCCGGCCCCTACATTTTGGTTTTTAAACTATGAATGGGATAGCTATTTAAAAGTTTCTTAAAAAAATAAATAAATAAAATAAAAAATAAAAGTTTCTTTTTTTAACAAGGCAAAAAGTAAAAGGTGACTGTCACGTTGTCACACTACCTTGCTGAAATTCCCTCCGTGGCTCCCTACTGTTCCCCCCAAACAGTCCACACTTCTTCTCTTGGCCTATAAGACCCCACTTGATCTGAGCCTGCGGCCTGTGGCGGCCTCACTCTCCTCATACACAACTCCCCATCGACACCCAATCCACCCCACACCCGGGGTGCCCTCCCTCCGGGACTCACAGATGCTCCTGCAGCTTCCTCTTCAGCAGGGCGGACTGGGGGAGAGAAGAGGCACCGGGTGAGTGGGGTCCAGAGGTCCCAACCCCTTTCCGGGGGAAGGCAGGGGGTGCCACCCGGGCCCACAGTACTTACAATGGGCTGCAGGGGCATCGGGCAGCAGGGGGAGAGAGAGGGGGGTTAGCGGCGGGCACGAGGGAGGGCCAGGCAGGGAGGAGGTGGGCACTCACGTCCTCAGTCTTGCCCCCCTGCTCCTGCAGGGCCTTCTGCAGGTCCTCCACCTGGGCCCGCAGCTCCGACAGCTGCTGCTGGTTCAGCCTGCGGGGGCGGGGGCCGCTCAGAGCCTGTGCCCGCCCTCGGCCCGGTCCACGTCCAGGACCCCCTCCGCCGGGTCCTCACCGGTGCTGCGTCTCCAGCCCGTGGCGCGCGCGGTTGGCTTCCTCCAGGTGGCGCTGCAGCTCCTCCTGCCGCTCCCGGTCGGCCGCCTCCTGCTGGCACAGCCGCTTGTTCTCCAGCTGAAGCCGCAGGAGCGTCTCCCTGCCGACCGGGAAGGAGGGAGCAGGGCTGGGGACCGGTCACCCGCAGGCCGGCCCGGGCTCTGACAGAGAGACTGGACACACGGTGCTAGGAGAGGGGCAGAGCCCTGGGGAAGAGCCCAGGGTGACCCTGGGCTAGGATGAGTACCGGGGACCCAGGCCTAGCGTAGGTGGGCGGAGCGCGCGGGGGCGGCAAAGTGGGCGGAGCTATGAGCTAGGCCTAGGGAGCCAGGCAAGCGCGGGGCTCCAGGAGCGGGTTAGAACACGCGGGATGGGGCTGCAGGAAAGCAAGACGCAGGAATGTGAAGGGCTGGGGTGGGAGAATTCATCTGGGCAGCGCACAGGGCGCTGAACCTAGCAGGGGCTGCACTGAAGACAGAGATGTGCCCTGAGAGCAGAGCCCGATGTGGACGGGGCTGGGCGGAGGATTTTTGCATGGCCAGTGGAGCCAGATGGGTGGGACCCAATTTGCACACTGAGGATGGATCCTGGAGAGGCAAGCCACCAATAGGGCTAGCGCCCAGGGCAGGTAAGGGCAGAATTACGAGTGGCTGGGCCTAGGGGCCCGGCAACCGAGCTGAGCAGGCAGGGCTAGCGGTAGGCTGACGGTGGGCACTGGTAGGCCGGCGTGGGGCCAGAGCTCTGAGTGACCCCAGGATACCTGAGTTCCGCAGGTAGGATCTCCGCTGCTAAGTTTTCCACAGCCGGTGAGGTGGGATCCAGTGAGGGGTCTGGAGAACGGGTGAAAAGTCTTCAGGTTACTGCACAGTCCCCACCCCTGTCCCTGGGGTCCTCTTTCCAAGAATCATCTTTGGGGCTCAAGTTCGGCCAAGTACCTGGCTTAACAGGGAGCCCCGATGCTGGTCCGAGTTTGCCTTGGCCCCACCCCGAGCCCGGGAGCACAGCCCCCACCTTCTGTCGGCCCACGTCACCTCTTTCCGCTCTAGCCTCCCTCCAGCGTGGCCTAGCTCTGCCTCCAGTCTACACAAGCCCTGAGACACTGCCTTTCTGCCTGCCCTGACAGCACCCCAGGCCACCCCTCTACCAGACCCTTGGATGGGCCTCCAGCTCACCGGCCTGGGTCAGCCCCCGCGGCTGCAGCTGGGCGCAGCGCAACTCCTCGTTGGCCTCGCGCAGCGAGTCCCGCTCTGCCAACAGCCGCTGGAGAGACGGGGCACAAGAGGTCGCTGGAGGCAGGATCGGCCTCCTGGGGAATGGGCTATGCTATGATGACAGAGTGAGGCTCGGGCGGTGGGACCTCAGCCTCACCTCCTTCTCCTTTGTCACCGACTCATACTTTTCCTCCAGATTGTGGCACTCGAATTGCCATTTCTCGGCCTTCATGGCCTCCTCCTGTCGCTGGCCCTGCAGTTCCTGAACCTGAACAGACGAAAGGGGTAAAGACTGCGGGGTTGGAAGGGGGCAGGGACCGAGTACAAGGCGAAGGGGCGGGGCCGGGGGGACTCAGCGGCTTAGAGCCTGGAGGGGCGGGCAGACGCAGACGGGGGCTGGCCTGGGCGGAGGGGCGTAGCCTACATGTAAATGAGGGACAGGGCTCTGGCGGGAGGGGCTCAGAACCACACTGAGGGCGGACCAAAGCCAGGGAGCGCGCCGTGAGGGGCTTGGCCGCCCACCGCAACCCGCTCTCCGGGTCCCTGGCCCCCGGCCCGCGGCCCCCGCCGCACCTGCCGCCGCTGCGCCTCGAGCTGGGCGCGCAGCGAGCCCGCACGGCGCAGCTCGTCCTCCAGCTGCCTCGTGCGCTCGGCGTGGCCGGCGTTGCGCTCCTCCAGCTGCCGCACCTGCCGCCGCAGCTCCCGCAGCTCGCCCAGGCGGCGCCGGCAGCTGTTCAGCGTGGCCTCCAGCTGCCCGGCCCGCTCCGAGGACTGCCTGGGGGAGGGGGCAAGTGGGGGGAAGAGGCTGGGGACTGCGGTCAGGGTTCAGCTTGGATGCGAGGCCCTCAAGGCAGGGGAGCGTGTCGGCCTGGGGGCGTTTGGGTTCAAGGGGATGGATCGTAAGGGTCAGGGGCCAGCCCGGATCTGGTGCTGTTGGGTGTCATTAGGGGGCATAAAGGGAGCCCTAGCATCGATGATTAGCCCAGGGTCACAATCAGGGATCCTCAGGGGGGGAATTGTGGGGTTACAGGGGGAATGATGGGACCCAAAGGGTCTGAGGAGCCCCCAAGGACACTTAGGGGTCATGAGGTGGCTGTGGGATCAACGATGGCATTGTGGGTACAGGGGCCATGGTGGAGTCGTGGGGGAGCTTTCGGGCCAGAGCACTATGGAGTCCTTGAAGGTGCAGTAGGGGCTCACTAAGCAATGTAACACTACAGGGGTGCCGTGGGGTCACAGGGGAGCCCTTTGAGGTTACAGAAGACACAGTAAGGTCAAGGGGGTGGAAGCTCCAGGGGTCCACCACACGCTTTGGGGTTGCTGGGGTGTTGTAGAGTTGTCAGAAGATACAGCCGTGTCACGGAGGTGCACAGTGGGGTCACAAGGGGCTGCAAGGTTATTGCACCATGGGGTCCTCAGGACACCAAGGGATCCTAGGGCATGGTGGGACCTAGAATGTGCAGTGGGTCTGGGGAGCATTGGTGGGGGCCCCCTGGGCTTGCTGGGGTCACAGGGATGCAGTAAGGTCTGGGGGATACAATATGGGATAACGGGGGGACACTGTGGGGTCCTGGAAGACATCAAGAGTCCAGGGGGCTTGGTGGAGTCCAGGATAGTGCAGTGGGGTTCAGGATGGCACAAGGGGCATTGTGAGGGTCCACTGGGCATTTTGGAATGACGAGGCACTGTAGCATCAGAGGGGCACTCTGGCAAAGGGGGTGTGCAGTGGGGACCCAGGGACCACCACTCACCGCAGCTCGTCCATCTCATCCTTCAGGGCCTGCGCCTCCTGGGCCAGGCTGGTCAGCGCCTGGTTCCGCTGCTGCAGCTCGGTGACCTCTCGCTCCAGCTCGGCACAGCGCAGGCGCTCATCCTCCCTGCCGCTCTCCAGCCTGGGGGGCAGTGGCAGGGGGCACGTGAGGGGCTGCAGCCGCCCCACGCCCCGGCCTGCCTGGCGGGTTCCCCGCCGCCCGCACCTGAAGTTCTCCTCCTGCAGCTGCTCCAGCTGGGACTGCAGCAGCAGCAGCTTCTTGGCAGTGAGGCCGGTGGCGCCCTCACCCTCGGGCCGGCCCACCCGCTCCCGCAGCACCGCGTTCTCCTGCGCCAGGCTCTGCTTCTCCTCTGACAGGAGCACCAGCTACGGGCAGAGGGTGCCCATGAGCTGGAGCTTGGAGGGGGGCTATGCAGGCAACCTGCCCCAGGAGCACCCGTGGTCCCCCCACTCGGCCCCACCTGCCGCTCCAGGTCCAGACAGCGCTGCTGCAGCTCGTCCCCCTCATCAGCCTCCTCACTCAGGAAGTAGTACCTTCGGGACTGATGAGAGGGGTGGGGGAGGGGCAAGGAACTCAGGGATCCAGGGGAGGAGACTGGGGGAAGGGAGGCTGGGATCTCCAGGGGGAAGGGGGGTGGCAAGAAACCCTCAGGATTTAGGAAGAGAGGGCTGGGACCCGGGGGCATTGGAGGAAGTGATGCAGGAACACTGGGGACCTGGCAAGGGAAGAAGCCAGGACCCTGAGGGATGGGGGTGGCTTACAGGCTTAACGACAAACCCTTCCCCCTTAGGCAGCCCTGCGAATCAGTAATAGGGCTGGACCTTTACCAGAACCCCCCACCCCTTACCTGGCTATCAAAGTTCCCATATGTCTCCAATGACAGGGAGTCAGGGGTGTCTTTGGTCATGAGCTGGAGGGGGATGGGGGACATTGAGATGAGCTGGGCCCCCTGAAGGTGGCCTTCAACGCTGAGAACCTCTCCATCCTCCTGTCCCCAAAGCCAGTTCTCCCCATAACCCTAGCCCAGAAGCCACGCTCCTGCCGTACTGCACGCAGGGAGGCCTGGTCCTTTGGGCATGCCAGACTGTGACTTAGAACTGGGAGGGGCTGGCCAACACATGAGACAGGAAAGCTGGCCAGCAGAGTTCCAGGCAGAGCCCAGACCTTACCAGGGCAGGGCCTGTGCCCAGCTGCCTCTGCCCTGGAGATGCCCTCCCCTGGAGCTCCCTGCCACACTGGGCACCCCCACCCACCTCCTGGATGGCTTCCATCACCACCTGCTGAACAGATTCCTCCAGGGTCATGATTCTCTGGATGTGCTCTAGGGATCAAAGTGGGGGAGACAGAGATGGAGACGTGGGGGGGAGGGAAGGAGAATTTCCTCGGATCTTCCCCTGGGGACCCCCTAACCCCCCATACCCTGCTTCTTCTCGCAACTGATGGCACAGCCCAGCACCAGCTGAAGCAGCTTGCCAAGCTCCTCTGGGTCCGAGAACTCGCCAATGAGGCTCACATCCGGGATGTGCTGCTCCGAAATGGGATGCCCCAGGACCTGAGGATGGGGGCGGGGGTATCAGGGGCTCACGGACCCCCTCCTCCCAACCCAACCCCCTAAATCCCTTTACAGTTACTCACATCCTGGGAGTACTCCACCAGGCTCTGTAAGATTGTCTTCAGATTGCCGACCTGGGGAGGGCCAAAGAATTGTGTCCAGGCTCCCAGAGCCCCCCCAAAAGGGGCCTGGCATCCCTCACCCTGAATCTGTCTACCCCACCCTTTTTTCTCTGCCTCTTCTCCCAATCCCTGGTCATCTCATCCTATTTGGCCCCATTCTCCGTCTGAAAGTCCCCTCTCTTAGGGGTGACCTGTCTGGCTGCCTGCCCTTCTTGTCCACCTGCCCATCTTGTTCACGTGTCCCCAGAATCCAACCACTTCTCACCACCTGCCCTGCCACCCTTTGGCCCTAGCCACCGTCATCTCTCACCCAGATTATTGTACCAACCCCGTCTCAGCTTCTGCTCTTGCTGCCTACAGTCCATTCCTCTCTGAGCAGCCTGGGGGAGCTTTTCAAAGCCCAAGCCGGGTTGTTTCCTTTGCTAAAACCCTTCGTTGACTTTGCACAGCACTTAAAATAGAATCCACCTCCCTGCCCTGGCCTGCCAGTCCTCTGGTGACCTCATCTACCATTCCTGCCCCTTTGCTTTCCGTTCTGACCTCTCTGCCATTCCTCGATCACACCAAGCTTATTCCCAACTCAGGGCCTTTGCATTGGCTGTTCCAGTCCTGGAATACTGTTCCTCCAAATCTCACATGGAGATCAGGCCATCTGGAGTAACCACCCACCAACCCCCAGTGGCTCTCTCTTATTGCCCAGCTTTTATTGTCCTCAAAGAACTTATCGCCAGTGGAAGTCAATGTCTACATTTGTGTATGCAGGTTTTTGTCTGTTATTCCTTGCTGCACGCCCAGCCCTGCTCAATAAATGAATGCAAGAACAAATAGTTGGCTGATCACCAGACATCTGTCCCTCTTCCTGGCTAGGTCTGTCTGTCCATCACCCAGGACATGTCTAGCTGACCCTTTCCTGATCATCTCTTCACCAGCCTGTCCCCCAGTGGAGTCCACCTGTCACCTTCAGCCTCCAGTTGGGACCTGGGTCGTCTGAGATGCCCTGGAGCCATGCTTCGTTGAACCAGGAAGGGTCTCTGGGGGCGAGAAGGTGGGATGAGCTGCTGGGGGCCCCTTTTGGGACCCTCCCCCTCAGCCCCACTCACATCTGGTTCAGCACAGAGGCTACGGCGAGGCCACTGCTCAGGTCCTGGGGGCTGGTACAGGGGGGCGGGACGTGGAACGTCTGCAGCTGGGGAAGAGAAGAAAGCGCAAAGGGCCGAGTCAGGGCCTGGGACCACCGACCCACGCCCCTTTTGCAGACTTTTCCGGTCAGCAGGCGCCTCACGCGGCTGGGCGGGAGCTGGCCTGTTGCTCCAGCGTGCCCGCTCCTGTGGGGGAGTGGCCTCTGCTCACCTGGGCCCGGAGGGGGCGTGGCCTCACTTCACCTCTGCCCCACAAACACCGCGCGACCAGGCCAGGGCAGAACCACGAGTCACCTGGGCCCCACAGGCACCACGTGACCAGGCCAGCTCACCTGTGCCCTCGCCTCACGTGACCCAGCCCCGAAAGGGCAGGGCCTCACCTGTGCTTTCCACGCAGACCTGCCACGTGACGGGGGCGGGTGCTCAGGCCAGAGTCCAACGGCCCCACAGGCCGACGACCCCCTACTCCTCCCAGTCCCAGGATGGAGGGGTGGACTGAGCTAAGGCTGGGGCTCCCGGGCGAGAAGAGCGGGCGCACACCTGTCCCTGGTTCCGCCCCTGACCTACCCAGGTGAGCAGAGACCCGCATAGCTCGGCCTTGTCCACGCTCATGGCTCCCGATCAGATTCGACCCCGGCCGCGGAGCCCCGCCACCGCAGCCGCCTCCGGATCCGCCACCAGCGAGCGCCCGCAGCCCCGACCTCCCGCTCGGCCTAGAGCGCCGCCCCGCCCCCTCGGCGCAGGCTCCGCCCTGGGCACGTGATCTCCTCCGGGCGCCCTCTCAGGCCTCCAGTCCCGCCATCTTGGATCCGGGCAGCATTCGGGCGCCCGCCCTGCCACTAGGGGTCAGCCTGGGCCGGCCTTGCGCATCCCAAGGGTGGCGCCGCAGCCCGTCCTCCCCGGCTGTTTTGTGGGTAGCGGAGACCTCACGATCATTCCTCAGTATCTGAGGCGGAGCTGCCCCACCCTGTTATACAGGCGCATTCACGTCCCTTCCCTTCAGCTGAAAGAAATTCTGCTGTCTAACCACGTTATGATGGGAGTCTTTATCTGCACGGGGGGGGGGGCAGGCCATAACAATTCTATGGACTTGGAGGGGGGATCCTAAAGGGGTCGTCCCGGTGGAGGTGACTTGGGAGTCTTGCCCCAGGGGATACAGGCGTGGTTCTAGGTAGGTCGAGGGTAGGATGGGTCAGCCAGACACGTGTGCTGGCTGATGGACAGACACACTTACCCAGCCGGTCCTCCGCTGAGCTTCCCCAGCGCCTTCCCCTCCCCAAGCCCCGCGCCGAGGTCCTCCTGCCTCAGAACCCAGGACCAGGCCGCCCTGGTCCCCGCGGCCCACCAGGGGGCGCGCAGGCCGCAGGAACGCGGCCTACGGGGAAGAGGATGTGCCCACTCTGAGACCCCGCCCGGGCGGTGGAGGGGCCTCCAAGGAAAGTGATAATAGTAGTTAACAATAAAATCGCAGTCGCCATAGATTGAGTGCCTACAGTATGCAGGTCCTGCGCTAAGCGATTTAAATACATAGGCGGTTGAATCCTCCCACGACTCTAGGTGGAAGTGCTGTTTTAATTCCCGGTTCGCAGGCGAGGAAACAGAGGCTCTGGGTGGACCCGGCTTTAGGCGGAGGGGGTAAAGCCCCGGCCCGCCCCCTTTGACGCTTGAGTCCCCCGGCAACCCCTCCCCCGCGGGGCCGGCGAGGTAATGAGCAGTAATTAGAGGTTATTAGCTGTACCCGGAGGGAGGGGCGGGCTCTGCTTTGGGGGTGGGTCCAGATCCGAAGGGAGGGGCGCTTTGCTCCTTCCAACCCAGCGTCTGGCTCCAGTGACCCTGCCCCGGAGCGGGTTGGGCAGGATGACAACAGCCCCCACGCCGCATCGCAGAAACAGTCACTCTACACCAGACACTCGGTTACTGCCGACTCAGACGCGCAGCTGCACGCACGCACGCCGGGCCTAGGAGGCTCGTCTACACCCCCACATCCCCTTCCCGCTTTGTTTTCATCCTCCAGTCCCTGGGAGCGGGGTGGAGAGGGAGTAGTGGGGGAAGGGGACAAGGGCCGGCAGCTCGGGCTTCCGGACTGGGCTGCCTTCCGGCGGGCGGGCGTGGGAACCACTGCCGCTGGCTGGGATGTCAGTGTCCCATCCCGCACCCTCCGGAGGGGAAGGTGCCGCCCCAATAGGTGGAAACGGGGCCACCCTGCGCCCAGGTAGAAGTGGAGGCGGCGAGCTGGAACTACCTACGGCTGTTACAAGGATGGGGGGCTGGGAATATTTGTGAGATGGCCTGGTTGCCCAATGTTGGGGCACACGTTAGGACTGCCAAATATTTGGGGGGGTCGCCAATATTTGCAAAACCCGCAGAGATCTTGATCTTTAGGAGGAATCTAGGAACCCAAATATTTGGAGCATAGGCTTGAATTGTTCTAATGTTGACGTGATATTGTGAGCGTCCTAAATGTTCAGTAACCAGAGGCCCCAGAATTAAGGAAAGATCTAGGTGCCCTCATTTTGGGGGCGGAGACACAATCCTCCATTTGGGGCGGCAGAGAATCTCATGTTTGCGGGGAAAGGGAGCTCCCATGTCGGCAGGGAAGAGCAGCAATCCCTATTATGGGATGCAGGGAGACCCACTGTTGGGGGGATCCCGGTACCTTCAATTCAGTGAAAGAGGTCACAAACCCTCATTTTGGGGCAGGGACCCTATATTTGGGGGAAAGATGCAAACCTCCATTTTCGGTGGGGGAGCCCCAAAGTTTGGGGCATGGTCTGGAGGCCCCCATTTGTAGGGACAGAGAGTGCAGGTCTGGGCCAGCAACCCCCAGCTGGTTTGGAGACCCCACCCCCTCCTGCCTGTTTCCAGGAACAGCTGGGCCCAGCCTGGGTTGTACTGCTGGGAAGCGAGTGACTCAACCCCTCCCTGCGGCCACAGCTGGACCCCCGCCCGCCCCCTCTGGCCTTCACATCTGGGCAGAGACCCAGTCATGAGGGCTGGGATGGGGACCCTGCGTTCACACAGTTGAAGGCTGGTGTCCCTCCGCGGGGGCTGACCAAGCCACAGGGTGGACACCATGCCCCATACCACGAGGGACTCGGGCAGGCCCTCTTCACTGCAGACACTGGCATCCCGCCAGGAACTCCCATCCTGTCCCCCTCTCCATGTCTGTGGGTGTGTGTCTCTGAGTCCATGTGAAGTGTGCTCACATCTATGTAGGTGTGAGAAGATGGGTCTGTGATTGTGTGTGCACGGGTGTGTGTGTCTGCATCCACCTGTGTCTTGGGGCGCTGGGAATTTATGCGACAGGCTATGTGTGTGTGATTTGATGGGGGCGGCTGTCAGGGACTGGGGCCCATGCTTCTCTATATGGGACCTTGCTTTGTGTCTATATCCCTGTGTCATTCTTTGTGTGAACAGTGAGTGTGTGACAATCAGTACCTCAACGTGGCTTTGGGTTTTCTGTGTGACACTCTACTTTCTCTGCATCATGTGTCTTTTTGTGATAGTGTGACCCTGTCATCTGTGTCCTTGATTTGCCCATGTCCCCACAACAATCTGGTGTCCTTGTGTGTGGCCTTGTGGGTTTGCCTGTGACCCGACTTTACTTTGTGTGCCCTATTTGTGATGACCGCGTGACAGCATGACCGTCGTCTGTCCCCACCTTGTGTCTCTGCGCCTCTATAATCTCCATGGGAGTGGCAGGGCTGTGTGACAACTGGAGTCCTGGTGTCCAAGACTTTATATCTGTTTGTGTCTTACTTTGTCTTGATGGTGATGGTGTGGCTTTATGGGAGTGCTATATATGCCACCTGTGCATGGAGATGGCCCTGTGTCCCTACCGCAAACGGTGTGTGACAGGTGTGCCTGTGTAACTATCTGGGTCTTCATGTGTGTCCGTGTGTGACAGTGTGACCCTGTCCATGTTCGCTGCGGGGCTGGCTGGGCTAGTGAAGGTTTGTGCCAACGTGTGGCGGTGTATCCCGTGTCCTGCGACACTGTGGGTCGGAGAGTTTGTGATCTTGCGGGGTGGGGGGCGTCAAAGTCACGCGCGCCGGCGCGCTCAGCGGAGGCGGCGCTGTGCGCAGGGGGCCGTCAGGCGCCCCGCGTGCCGCCGCTCTCCGCAGGGCTGGCCCCTCCCCGCGCTGTGGGGGCGCGTGCGTCGTGCGTGACGTGAGACACGACGGGGGTCGCTGCGTGCGTGGAGCCCGACGCGGTCGTGCGTGCGGGCGCGGGGGGCTGGGCTAGCTGCGTGTGCGCGTGCGTGGGCGGCCGCGGGGACTGGGCGCGCGGGGGCGCGCGGGGCACAGCCCCACCCCGCCCGGCACTTTGGGCCGGGTGAAACCCGGAGGGGGCCGCCGTTAACCCCTTCCTGCCCGATCTGAAACTGGTGGCCCCTCGACCGAGCGCGCGGGGGCTTCCCCGGCGCGTGGGGGCCGTCCCTGCCGAGGGAGGAACCCCCCCATCGAGCTGAGAGACCCCCCCAGTTACCATGGGAACCGGAGCTTCCCGCGCGGCCCGGCGCCTGCTTCCTCCCCCCCTCGCTCTTCCTCCAGCTCAGTAGTCCACCGACAATGCGCTTCCCGCTCCTGGTCTCCGGGGAAGGGGGTTGGGGTCAGCTAGGCCCGGCCTGCGTGACTCAGGCCAGCCCGGGGGTCCCCTTGCCGCAGCCGACCTGGCTCCCCTTCCCTGCCCCCGTGACTCACCCCTCTCGGCTTTCCCCGTGTGTGACTCAGGCCCCTGGGGAGGGGGCTGCGGACTCTGAGACCCCCTCCAGGCGGTGGAGGCTGAGAACTAAGTTCTGGGGACCCTGAACTCTGGGGAGGGGCTCCCCCTCCAGCGGGGGGCTGGTGTCTTCCCTTCGCCGGCCCTCGCCCTGGTCACTAGAAGCGTTTCCCCCTCACCCCACCATCCCTGAATTGGCAAGGCCTCCGGGAACCCTGCCCCCAGCCCCTCCCCCCCCCAGCCCACAGGAAGTTTTGGCAGAGCCCGTCGTGGCGATGAAACGGTTAAAGCCGTTTTCTTATTCATTTCATCCAGGGGCCCCTTTTGACTCAGAGCAAGCCAGGCGCCCCCTTGAGCCGGGCCTCATGGGGGCCTGGGTTCATACTCCACCCCACATGCACCATTTTTAGAGAGGGGAGGGAAGGCGTTGGTGAGCTGGCTGGGGGTCTTGGGTAGCCTACAGAGCTGGGTTCAAATCCTGCTCTACCCTCATTGCTGCCTGGGTCTCAGTTTCTCCATATGAAAATGGGGATAATTACATCCTGCTCACCGTGGTGTTGTGGGGATTAGGTGAATAATAGATGGGAGGCTTTGAATCCGGAGCTGGGCACTGTAGCAGGCAGGGGCCTTGGCCGGCAGAAGGACCCAGCCTCCTCCTGTCTCAGGCCTGGGTGTCGGGGTGCCCAGCAGAAGCGAGTCCTCGAGGGGCAGGCTGTGCCCGCCCCACCCAGGCACTCTGAGGCCATGGGGTTCATCCTGTCCACCCCCTGCCCCGGGCCGGCACCCAGGAAGTGAGAGGTGGGGCAGGAATGAGGCGGAACCTGTTGGGCCCGTCGCCTCCCCACCCCCCACCCTCATTCCGGGGCCCTGACAGGGTCCCCCCCACGCTGTGGCCCCACCCCTGCCGCCCTGGACGCCTGGGTCCTGACCCCACGGTGGCTGGAGGGAGGGGATGTCGGCGGAGACGGCGTCTAGGGAACATCCTGTGGACGGCTGGCTGGACAGATGGGAGGGTCAGCCCCTCCCGGG